AAACGTCGGAAACTGAATCCAAGGTACATCGGGCCACTCGGGATCCTTGCTAGAATCAGCCCGATGGCTTACAAACTTCGACTACCATAATAACTCAATAACGTACACCCCACCTTACACGTGTCCAACCTGAAGAAGTGTCTGTCCGACGAGACTCTTGTAATCCCACTCGAAGAAATCGAGGTAAACGATAGTCTACACTTCGTAGAGGAACTTGTGGAAATCATGGACAGGGAGGTCAAAAGGACGAAACAAAGTCGCATACCCATAGTGAAGGTTCATTGGAATGCTAAGCGACGACCTGAATTCACCTGGGAACGAGAAGATTAAATGAAACAAGAGTATCCACATCTTTTCCATAGCTCATGAGAACCCACTCTAGAACTAATGTTGGGACGAAATTCCCTCAAACGGGGGGATAATGTGACAACTCGCAGTTTTGGGTCAATCAAAGTCAAACAAGTCAACGAAAGTCAACTGAATAGGACATGAATTTTGGTTATATACTTTGTTTTTAGGGTTTTCGGTTTAGGGCCGAAAACTATATGATTTTGCTTTTAGAGTTTTCGGTTTGGGGCCAAAAAACTCTATGATCTTGATGAAACTGGACCGAAATCACTAGGTGATTTCGGTGGACTTGTGGGGGTTTTCGGTGGGAAAGAAAAGAAGAAAAGAGTTGACTTCGTGACATGTGGTTTCATCCTTTCCAACACAAAATATTACCCAGCATGTATCAAGGCTATTATCCAACAAATAGTAATGCAAACATCACCTCACCCCATCGCTCTTTAACTTCGACCGAGATCATCCCCAAACCCCCACCATCTTCAAAGTTCTTCATTTCCTCTCAAGAAATAAGTCAAAATCTTCCAAGAATTTATTTCTTCAAGTTGGTTCTTAGAATTTTTGGTAAGTATTCTTTGTTAATCTAGTGTTTCTACACACTTTCATGTTAGTTTCATCTCATTTACACACATTATCATGTGTTAAAACTCATAGGAGAATACCATCTTCAAAGAGTTTATCAACCACCTTCAAGTGCTCTAGGCTTGAGGATCTTCACCATCACCTCTATCCAACCACAAACACACTCAAGGTAAGTTCATACCTCCATATTTTCGAGTTTTTCATGTTTTAGGGGACGAATACAAAAAATATTTGGAACATTTACATAAATGTTTGCATGTTTCATTCCTATGTCGAATATAAAGTATAATTTACATGAAATATGGTTATCTCTAGTTTTTATAACATTTATTTGTGGTAAGTTAGTTTTGAGATGTAAAACTAAGAAAAACAAAACATAAACTATGTTATATACTCGTAAGTAAAACTTATAATTACAAAACTATAAAGACTAAGATTTTCTTCGGACAAAATATGGCATTTCTAGCAAAAATGGTTATGACCTAGTTATTATACCATTTTTTGTGGGATAAAACCCAAAAATATGTTGTTTTGGTCATGCTTTTTAAAATTAGATAAAATATCAAGGAGTTAGTTTTACAAAAATAAAACTAGAGAATTTATCATTTTATGTAATGAATGGATTTTTAAACAAAAATGGACTTTCTCATATCAATTTCTCATACATGTGTTAGATGTAAGTTTTTATGAGATAATCTTTTAAAAACATCTAGACAAGTTAACCATTACGTATTTATATAAATGATTATATAAATGGATTTAACCAAACATTCATAATAAACTATAATTGGTATAGTTTGGGAATTATAGATACTACGCTATCATTTTGGATGAATTATATACTTACATAAGGGTATCAATATTTTTACACTATATGGCTCCTATGGAACGGTAATACTTTCATTGAGGGTTTCATTACACTAGACGTAAATCGGTTAATACCAATTTGTGAGACAAGCCTTCACCGTACCTACCAGAGTACACACTAAAGTCCTGAATTATAACCAGAGTCTCCGTAAGAAAGCCTGACACTTGTATATAGACCTATACGGGACTGACAACCTCGCACCTAAATTGTTAGCTACAGTTAGACCGGCAGGTCTAGGGTGACAAATATCTAACATTCCGACGCCTGAAGAACGTCGTAGCAGGCTACTAGTCGCTAGCAAGGTTAACAATAAATTTGGTTTACGAGGTTAACATACCATCAAGTAGTTTTATATAGAGATAAAAATTCATAATACTATTTTCCAGTACAGCACTACTTACATATTTTTTTTAGTCTTTGGGTTTAAGACTTACAACTCATTTTAAAGAAAATATTGGATTTTCTGAAAGAACACTCTATCAGTTTTACAAGGAAAAGTTACTAATTCTTCTCATACAAAACTCTTATTAACTCACCAACTTAATTGTTTACATTTTTTCAAAACTGCTTGTATTTTCAGGAAATCCGTAAACAGGTAATCAAAACGGTTTTGAGGATGGGGCGCCACAACATCATGTTAATTACTTTTTTTCATTTTGTATTTGGTATTTGCAACAAACAAACTTTGGATACAATGTAAACTCTAAATTATAAATTATGATGGTTGTATGGCATTGATCACTATTATTCATTTGTTATGATATTGTACATGAAGTCATCCACCCCCAGACGTTTCAGCCGTTCTAGTTTGGGGGTGTGACATAGTTCCGAGAAATCGTGTTCATGGATATGAAGGTGGGACGTCCACCAAAATGTCAACTGTGTAGGACGAAGGTATCAGAAAAATGAAAGAAATAAGAAGAGACCCAATTAAATTTTTTACCTGATTCCAGCGACATCATGAGCCACCCCGGAGTCTAGCGAGTCAGTTACCATCCACCGCCGTCAGTTCATGTGGTGCTACAAAAGAGAAGGCAACTCCTCCCTTCTATTATTGATATTGTTAAGAGATGAGGAAATAGAAGGTGGCGATGGCGGTGTGCGGTGGTTTTTCTCAGTTCAAACAAATGGGTTGGGATTCTAATATGATAAGCATAACCCGTAAATATGTTATTGTTGAATTAGAACCATAGTCAACCCCTAAACCCTTAATCTGAATTTCAGAGTCGAAATTATTATCCCTCACTGGCGATGCTCCTCACCGTCGCAGCCTCTTGACGCCAATTGCAAGTGTGTACTTCGATTTTATAAGCCCTCTTGATGGAACACCACAAACCTGGCAGATCCACCTTCTTCATACAAAGGGAGCAACGAAGCAGTGAAGAGATAACACAATATTTTGTACAGGTCAAGCGGGATAGTTATTGAAGCGAAAGAAACAATATTGGATGAGGAGGGCGGCAAGGTGGGAATCCGTGCAGATGAGAATGGAATAGAGGAAGGAGAAAATGAAAGCATTTTGGCGTGAAAATGAAAAAAAAAACGTCCGTGGCAAAACTGGAAAGAGAAAAAACTTTAGAGAAGAAGGAGAGAAGGAAAGCATTGTGGTGTGAAAATGAAAAAAAAAATGTCCGTGGCAAAACAGGAAATAGAAAAAAAAAACTTTACTGCAGATGGGCATTTTAAGAATTGATAGTATATATAATATCATATATCATTTTAAACAAGAGTTAGTATTTGTTGTTGAGTTAATGCTTGAGTTTGAGTTTTGATGGCTTATAAAAAAATAAAATAAAGGCAACATGGTTATGATCACCTCGTACTCTCGTAGCCATCTTTGCATTGGTGGCCAAGTTTGATGAATCTATGAATCGATGATTAATTTGTCTCAATGGTACCCATGAAAAAAAACATTTTAAATGTGTTTTAGAATACTTATCTAGAATATTCATATGTAGAATATATTAAGGATACTTTGCCACTGGTGCTACTCCTAGGATTAAGTTGGTTCGAAACATAACTTGTCTAATAAGAGGCACTCCTAGGAGATCTTTTGGGAATACGTCAGGATAGTTGCACATTCTCTTTGATCTCTTTTTCGTTGCTCTTTTCATCTTCAACATGTTCCAGGAAAGCGTAGTATTTCTTGTGTAGATATTTCTGAGCCTTCATGTAAGATATGATCTAGAGGTTTTGCCCTGATTTGTCTCCATAAATGACTTGAGTTTCATTCTTGCGTAAAGGTAGTCATATGGCTTTCTCATACCACATGATTTCGACATGATGAAGGGATAACCAATCTATGTCAATTATATTGTCAAACCTTCTGATGGTCATTAGCATAAGATTAATGTGGAAGGCGTGATTGTTTAAGGTTAGTATCTAATTTCCTAATATTTCCTGAGTGCTCCTGGATTAACCTGTAGCCATTTCTACCACATAAGTTTCATTAAGTCTATTGGATTTATGAGCTAGTACTTGTCTAAATTTAGGGGTAGTAAAGCTCCTATCAGCACTCGAGTCAAATAGTACAATTGCATACAAGTTTTTAACAAGGAACGTACGAGTTACCGTGGATGGATCATGGATCGTGTCCCTCATCCCAATCATAAATGCCCTATCCTTGGAATTTCCTACCCGATTATTCAGCTCTGGGAAATCGTTCTTGAAGTTTCTAGTCTCACCACATTCAAAATAGGTGTGATTCCTATCAGTACCAGTTCCTGGGTTTGCCTCAGGTTTCGGACAACTGCATAACTTAGCGAGGTGGCTCTTTTTACTTTAGATGTTGCGAATAATTTCCATACATACACCTATGTGGTGGTTGTTGCATTTTCTACATTTTGTGTTCTTCCATGTGTATTGTTTATGCGGAGTTTGTGTTGTTGTTGTGGTTAGTGCCAATGTCGCTACTGTCTCCTACTTCTTTTGTCCCATCCCCAACCGACGACGGAAATGATGGGAGGTACAACGTCAATGAATATCATCGTTAACAATATATGAACAACATAATATCTGCCATAGAGGTCTTCTGTTAGGTCAACTGGCTCTCGATTCTCCTTGCACTCCATGCCACATGCGTGGTGGTGTTCTTGTTAATGTTTATATCACCTGACATTACCCTTATTTATTTCTCCAATTTTTGGGTGCTCTCCAATAATTGGGCTAAGGATCTTGCATCATCAGTGGGTGGAGGGCATATTCCTCAGCCCTGTCTAATCTCATATCCGATGGTGATTCTTTCACCAAAGATTTTGTCCTCAACTACAACAGCGATCCAGGCAGGGTCTCTTTGGTACATCTTCATGTCCACGGGTAAGCAATATCAGGGCTTCTAAACTCCCCAAAGATATGGGTAGTCTTTCTTTTTGTCTGGGACGTCTTCCCTACCCTCCTGAGGATGCTCTTGTAAGGACTTGGGTGCGAATGTCGAGCTGTGATAACTACCACAGCTTCCATAGGCTCGCTATCCTCAGTCGCATCCTCACTCTCATCAGAATAATATTCTTCTTTTGGTTCTGCTTCTAACTCTTTGTGCTCGGACGGGCCGTCCATCGTCTGTTCTTCCTACGAGGGGTCCTCCATTGGCTCTTCCTCTCTCAAGGGATTCTCCACTGGCTCTTCTTAGGAAATGTCACACCCCAAAACCGGAACGGCCGAATCGTTCTAGGGTGGAGGACGTCATGCGTAGTATCACAACAAATGTATAGAAAGCATAGTAAACAGTACCAAACATTGAATACAAATATGAAAAGTGTTTACATTAGTTTGAAACTTGTTTTAAATACATCAAAAGTATGTAAAATATAGAAAACATGACTCTTATTGCTCCGACTCCTCTAAATCCAAGAAGTACCTGTCTACTGATTTCCTGAGAATACAAGCAGTTGGAAAGAATATCAGCAAAAGCTGGTGAGTTCATAAGCTTTTAGTTTTCGGTGGAAACAGTTCTTTTGATTCTTTTGGAAAAGTGATTCTCAAGAAAATCCCATATTTTCTTATGAAAAGTAGGTTTGAAAACTCATTCCTTCCATGACTTCCCGACTTATACTAAATACACACAATCCAAGGAGTCTTGGGATGAATACGAACATCCATTAGTAGAAAATAAACCATCAGTTTTAGAAATGCCAGTGTTATCCTGGGAAAATCCTATATTTTCCCTAAAAACAGGTTATCCGTCCTAGAGGTAGAGATGTCAGTTTAGAAATCCCTGATTACTATCATCATATATAAAATTAGTCTTATTACTCAAAATAAAACAAAAGAAGACTAGAGTCCGTAAACCAAAGTCAGTTTATACTTATTTGCGAGTCGTATAACCATGCTTGATATGACCTAGAAACCTTTATAACGTTCTTCAGGCGTTAATCTAAATGACATTTGTTCACCCCAGGCATGCCTGCCTAAATGTAGCTAGCAGTTCAGGTGTTGTATTGTCAGTCCCGAATAGATCTATTCACAAATCTCACGCTCTCCCTCCAGAAGACTCTGGTTATACTAAAAAAGGATTTATCACTGTACACCTAAGAGTACAATATTGAAGTAGAGCCTCACAATTATGTATAATCTAGTTTACTTGTTAAAAACAATATAAAACAATAATCATCCTTAAATAATTGTATTTTATACTCCTTAGAAACTATATAACATAAACTAAATCTGTCATAGTTTACATATATTCATTTATGAAATCTGAATTGGTAAGAGCTGCCTAGAGGGTTATCCCAAACTATACCCATTATAGTTTATTAGAGTTGATATGGAAAATGTTTTGTAAAAACCTTTCTGAAAACCATGAAGTAGATTGCCAAAACAAAAGCTTCCCTTATGCTCGACATAATACAAAAGGGATAAAATATCGGAATATTTTATTAAACATGGAAATCGTTGAATTGTATTAATAAGTTTAAAACTTAATAAAATACTTTGAGTTTGGCTTGTATTCCCCCCTTGAAAACATTAAAAATATGGAAAATGTAGGGGTATGAACTCACCTCGGGCGATTTGAATGAAGGATCGATACGAAATGCGGGATGTTCAAGTGAAGCCTTGAACACGATTTGATCCTAATTAACACGTAATGACACATAAAGGAGTCAAATGAAGGTATTTCACCACTAGATGTGATGGAGAACCATTCTACGGACTTGGAACTACTTGCACTAAGTGTTGGGACCTTAAAGGATTGCATGAGGGGAATGTATGACCACCTTGAAGGTGTGTGCGGCCATGGGTGTGTGGCCCAAGGGGTGTGCGGCCGTACACTCATGTCGGAAGGTGTCTTTGGGGTGCTTCAAGGTCCATTCTTGCAATCCATGAAGTGTCCTAGGTCTATACTCAATTGTAGTGCAAGTTAAGGGTCCTAGAAGTGGGTTTGCGGCCCTAGGATGAGTGTATGGTTGCACACTAGGTTGTGTGGTCGCACACTTGAGTGTGTGGTTGTACAAGGGTGTGTGCGGCCGTACACAAGTGTGTGCGGTCGTACACCTTACAAGATGATGTCCAAAATGTCCATTCCAAGGTGCAACAAGGCTAGGGTCATGTCTATCTCGGATATGGAAGTCAAACTCTCCCTTTGGAGGGTATTTTAAGAGTGTGCGGCCACCTTAAGAGGGTGTGCGGCCGCACTCACTTCCAAACACGAAGAACAAGACAATATTGCATCCTTAAGGCTTAGATAGAGTGGTCTTTCATGGTTTGCAAGCTAGAGTATGAGTTACTCACGTTTTTGAAGCTTTGGAGGGTTTGTGGTTGAAGAAGCTTGAGAAAATGGTGTTGTGTGTTGCCCAGGTGTTAAAGGAATGAAAGGAAAGGAGTCTACCCTTTATATAGGGGTAAGAGTGTGCTGCCAAAAGTGAGTGTGCTTCCAGGAGGTGTGTGTACGGCCGTACACTCCCTCTAAGGGTGTGTATGGCTTGGTTTTGACACTATACTACTTGCTGACTCATTCCTAAACTCAACCTTAGTCATACTCAAGCTTAGAACACTTAAATGAACCCTCAAACAGTGGAAGAAGTGAACAAAACAAGTTTAACATTGATTGAATTAACTAAGTGTACAAGATAGAAGTTCCGGGTTGTCACATCATCCCCCCGTTAGAGGGAATTTCGTCCCGAAACTCAAGAATGGAATACAAATCATGAACTTGGAAAGAGATAGGGGTACTTCTACTTCATTGACTCCTCGCGCTCCCAAGTGAACTCAGGACCCCGCTTGGCATTCCAGCGGACTTTCACTATCGGGATGCGACTCTGCTTCGTACGCTTGACCTCTCGGTCCATGATTTCGACAGGTTCTTCCACGAAACGTAGACTTTCTTCCAGATCAATCTCGTCGAGAGGAATCACAAGTGTCTCGTCGGACAGACACTTCTTTCGGTTCGACACATGGAAGACGGGATGGACGTTGCTGAGTTCTCGTGGTAACTAGAGTCTGTATGCTACGGGACCGATCCTAGTAAGGATATCGAATGGTCCTATGTACCTTGGGTTTATCTTTCCATGTTTTCATAAATGTATCATGCCTTTCCAGGGTGAGACCTTCAGAAGGACACGGTCACCAACCTGGAATTCCAAGGGCTTTCGCCTTTTATCGGCGTAGCTCTTTTGTCTATCTCGTGAGGCTTTCAGTCGTTCCCAAATTTGTATGATCTTTTCTGTTGTCTCTCGGATGATTTCAGGACCAATGAGAGTGTTGTCGGGGACTTGACCCCTGGCTAGCTGCGTATCACCCACCTCAGCCCAGCACAGAGGGGATCTGCACTTGCGGCCATAGAGGGCTTCAAATGGCGCAACCTTGATGCTGGTGTGGTAGCTGTTGTTGTAGGAAAATTCGACCAAAGGAAGATGAGTGTCCCATGACGTGCTGAAGTCGATGACACAGGCTCTCAACATATCTTCCAATGTCTGAATTATTCTCTCACTCTGTCCATCTGTCTGAGGATGATAAGCCGTGCTCATATCCAATTTAGTTGCGAGAGCCTTCTGTAGCGATTGCCAAAATCTCGAGGTGAACCTGCTATCTCGGTCGGAGATAATGGATACAAGTACCCCATGAAGGCGAACTATCTCTCGAATGTAGATTCGCGTGAGTCTCTCCATCTTGAAGTTTTCTTTGATTGGCAGGAAATGGGCGGATTTTGTCAACCGATCGACAATTACCCATATGGCGTCATGCCCACTCGGAGATCTGGGTAACTTGGTGATAAAATCCATTGTTATCCTTTCGCACTTCCACTCAGGTATCTCTGGCTGCTGAAGTAGACCTGAGGGCTTTTGATACTCGACCTTCACCTTGGCGCAAGTCAAGCACTTGCCCACGAAGGTTGCAATTTCCGCTTTCATGTTTGGCCACCGGTACAGTTGTTTGAGATCCAGATACATTTTATCTGCACCTGGGTGAACGGACTATTTAGTCTTGTGAGCCTCATTCTTGACAACCTCTCTGTACCCGCCGTACTTTGGGGTCCAAATCCGGTTCATGAAATAGTATACTCCGTCACCCTTGATCTCTAAGTTCTTGTCCATTCCCCGCATTGCTTCATCTCCTATGTTCTTTGGTTTCAAGGCTTCCAGCTGAGCCTCCTTGATTTGAGCGGACAATTGGGATTGGATGGTCATTGTCAGTGCCTTAACCTTACGCCCTGAATACTCCTTTCGGCTGAGGGCATCTGCTACCACATTGGCTTTGCCGAGATGGTAGCGTATTTCGAACTCGTAGTCACTGAGTAACTCTACACCGTCGCTGTCTCATGTTTAACTCCTTCTGATCGAAGATATGTTGCAAGCTATTATGGTCGGTGAAGATAGTGCACTTGGTTCCGTAGAGATAGTGTCTCCAGATCTTTAACACGAAGACCACTACTCCCAACTCTAAATCGTGAGTCGTGTAATTGACCTCGTGTGTTTTCAAATGCCTCGAGGCATAGGTGATAACCTTTCCTCGTTGCATGAGCACACAGCCTAGGCCCTGATTGGATGCGTCACAGTAGACAACGAAGTCTTCCGTCCCCTCGGGCAGGGACAAGATAGGTGCGCTGCATAGGGCCTGCTTCAATGTTTGAAACATAGTGTCTTGCTTGACTCCCCAACTAAAGGTTACACCTTTCTGTGTCAGGGTAGTTAAAGGCTTAGCGATTCTGGAGAAGTTCTGGATAAACCTGCGATAATAGCTCGCGAGACCCAAGAATTGTCGGATTTCTGTGGGTGTCTTTGGTGGAGACCAATTCTCAATCGCTTTGATTTTGGAAGGGTCCACGTGTATGCCTTCCTTGCTAACCACGTGACTAAGGAAAGTTACCTTCCTGATCCAGAACTCACACTTTGAAAATTTTTTATATAGCTTCTCCGCCCTCAATGTTTCGAGCACTTGCCTCAAGTGCTGTTTATGATCGTTCTCGCTCCGCGAATAGACAAGTATATCGTCAATGAACACGATTACGAACTTGTCCAGGAAAGGGCGGCACACCCGATTCATCAGGTCCATGAATACTACCGGTGCGTTGGTCAGACCAAAGGGCATTACTACAAACTCGTAGTGTCCTTAGCGAGTTC